AAAAAAAAAAAATTGAAAATACGCCACTGCTTACAGGTGTAGTAAGACCTCTCTTGACCATGTTATACTTAAATCACATAAAGGTAAAAATTCATCATGAACCGTGATGAACACATATTTATCATAACGAAATATATACATATTACGATAACACTGTTATAACAGTAATGTAATGCTAAGACCCGACTTCACATTACACTGTTTTATCTAATAAACTAAAGCTGTGATTTTGTATCGTTTCATACACAATTTAAAATATATATATATATATATAAGAGACAAAATGTCCATTTGAAATTTAAATAAAATATTTAATCATTTGCTCATACATTAATATAATACACACAGTGATGGTGATAGAGTTTGCGAGGCCCTGGGCAAAATAAATGTTAGGTCTTATAATTTATATTATTAAAATATTTTAAGTTCAGTTAAATCAGAACTGTGGGGCCTTAATTATAATTTAAGGCGCGAGGCCCTGGGCAACTGCTCCTATTTCCCACCCCCTCGCGCCGATCTTGAATACATATGAATAGATATTCATGTATAATATACTAAATTATTTGTATGCTTGTACAATATAGTATACGTTAAGTTATTATTTTGTTGTATATAATTTTGTTGATTTATTTTAAATAACACCCCCTTTTAAAATACCTAGCCACGAGCCTGGTTTAAAATATAACTATCAAGTTCACCAAGCCACTGCTCGATCAGATTACTATACTCATAATTGTGCGTTATAAAAAATTAAATAAGTACAAATAATTCTAAGCAAGATGTACAACACGAAAAGGTTATAATATAATGCGATTACTATTGGAATAATGTAGATATGACTATTAACGTTTAATCTGATACTGTAAAATTAATTTTTTGAAAACAAGCGACTTGACCGACATATTTGTTAAAAAAGTGCCCTTATCTGCAGCCAATTTAATTACTGTGAAAAAAAATGTGTACATTTACAAATAGAATTATAAATATAATTAATATTGCTAAACTTATATATGTTATTTAAAGATTAAACTTTAAATTTAGAAATTTAAAGAAGAAAAGGTATCGAAAATGAAAAAAATTTAGTAATCATTAGAATAATATGGACAATAAATAGTTAAATTATTTTTCATTAATCACTAATATATATATATATATAATGGTCACCGTTTATTAGACTTTATTTAAGACTAGACAATTTGAGTTAATTGATCGAATGAGTCAATAAGGCTAAAGATCTGAAAAAAATAATACAAAAATTGAAATAAATTTTAAATATTTATTGATATTTTAGCCACTTCTTGGTATGTAAATATGAATATGAAATAATTATAAATAAATAAATATAAGCATGGAGATAATTAAATATATGTATTTATAATTTTTATGTACATAATACGATTATGTAAATAGAAAATAATGTACTGTATATTTATCGTACTTAATTCATTTTTGACAGAAAACTATGTAAAGCCGATTTAGTTTTTCTATTTTCAGTTATTTTTAAAATCATATCCTCGTAGGCTTTATGCTCCTAAAATACTTCAGAAACACTTTTTTGCTGAATCCCTCTGCGCAGAACCTGAAGTGCTTCTAACATTTTTTTTGTTGATAGTGATTTCTCATCTGGTTCGTCGTTGTCTTCGATGCTATCAACAGTGACGTAACTCCGGTGCAATATTAATAATTATGCCTAAATATAAATTTATGTTGATGAACCACTCTGAATAAATCTAGAATGTGCAAATTCGTGGACTACTTCTCCATATTCCTCATGTGTTTTAGCGAACGAAATGTTTTCACGTTTTTTCTATCGATGAAACCAACCTTTTGCTGCTACAAAGTCGTTAATGCCCATTTTTTTCGTGATATCCACCATTTTTTGCCGTAACTGTGGTCCTGTGAGTTGGGCATAATTTTCTCTTATTTTTGTGAATCATTGTTTCAAATCCTCTTCAACCTCTGCTTCTTTACCATCCCTTTTCCTTTTATGATCTGAACTTCAATTTGCCAATGATACGTTTCAGTCAACTTTTCTGCACAGTAAACTTTCAGGCACGTTTAACTTGCATGCTTGCTTATCACTGGTTTATTTGAAGAAGCTCTTCATAATTTTTAAGAATTTTTAATTTTTCTCCTGCACTCACATCACGGTCGATATTCATTCTTAACACCGAACTTCTAAACTGACAACAAATATCGATGTTAAGAAAAAAAATATTCTAACAAAATGATGAAAATAAAAAAATAAACACGAGGGGAATTTTAAACGCGCAGCACAAGGTGAACATAACACAAATTACATTGGTAATAACTTTCAACACCAACGATAGCTTAATTCGTTATACATAATTCAGTAATCTTTTGCTATAGCGTCAAATAGCATGTTAGTTCTATTTTTGTTAATAATCGGTGAAGCAAATCCAATAAACGAATATTATTATGTATATCAGTATACGTGTAAACTAGTCAATAAATCGTGAGTCCAATAAAAGGTGACTACTGTATGAAGAACTTCAATTTTCAAAACTTTTTGTCAAACTAAAATTATCTGATCGCATACCAATGTTGATATTTGTTATTTTAAAGTTTTTTAGTGTAATTTTCACTTAACCAAATGTAATGCAATCAAATGAAATATAACTAAATAATGATTTATGAAAAACTAATCAAATAATTTATTATACATAGATGCATTTAACATATTTTTATCCAGCTTAATAGTTATGCTATGTGTTCTTTCATTATGGTTAATCAACTTTGTAATTTTCGCTCTGGAGTTCTTTAGAATTCTTCTCATCTTTTTCCTCCAGGTTTGATTTATCAAAATTTGCGCAAGTTATGTCTGACCCTTGACATATAACTGACTCTTCAGAAATAAAAAAAATTATTTTTAATTTATTTACATTTAAAATTTTGATAATTGATGCAATTTCCCGGTATGAAAAAATCTTACTTTTTTTTATATCGACGGAGGAGATTTGACCTAACACCGTCGATTTATCAGCTATATTCTTGTTAGTAATTTCTTTGACTGCATTTTTTTCAGCCCGAGCTCTTTTCAAAAATTTGTTTACTATAGCTGAACTTATTTTAAACATTTCTCTGTCATAGTTATCGCACGTCAAAATTATCTTTTTCGGTTTCTCAGTCCTTGATGTCTTTTCAAATGACTTTCCTAGTGCATTGATTGATTCTTCTATTATTAAAAAAATATTAATTGTAATTTTACTAAGATTAAAACACGATTTGGATTGAAATTTGACAAAATAAGAATTTTACTATTTTTTTTATTGACAGAGGCGATTGGCTCTACCGTCGGCTTTTCTGCAATTTTTTTTGACAACACATCAACACTAAGGGCAAAATCTGTCGTGGTAACAGATTTTACCTGTGAATTTATTCGCACAGTTTCTGGATTATTTCGTACTAATGGAGTACGAATTCGAGTATTGGGCTTATCCGTTACGTTAGCCATATCGAATAATTTCGTGTACTTTGTACGTTTTTTGCCCGACATCTGTTTATGTTTGTTAAATCCCGGTGATTTGCCATCTATAATATTGTTTTTCTCTTTTGATGCATTTGTTGCAGTGATGGATTTTCTAGAATCTTGCTTGGGCATTTTCTTCTATTGGTTATTAGTAATAAATAACTTATTACTTTATGTAATTATCGATTCTTCTGAAATTCCATACATATTTGCTATTATAATTTAGCGTTTTTAAAACGATTTGTGTTTCATTTGGTCTAAATCAAAAACTTACTCTAGTACAACTCGATACGTTCTTGTACAATGTTATGATGTCTTGATTGTACGTCAACGTCTTTTGGTTGTTCTTAGAATGAAATATGATATTTAAAGTCGATTAGAAATAAGAAACTATGAACTGTAGTTTGATATAACTTTCTTACGAATGAATGGCAAATGTTATTTGATTGACTAGTTAATATTATTTAATAAACTTTGAATATGCGTTGTTATAGATACACATAGTGTTTGTGTTTATTTTTCCAAATTTGAAAGTAAAGGAAATTTTTATATGTCATTATATCACACTATTTAAGTTTTATAATACTGGGTAGAATATTATCATACATACAAGGCCGTCCCCAAGATGAAAATCAAGGGGGGGGGGGGGAATAATATGAAAAATGCTGACTACAATTTCTTTACTCATTGTATGTAGTATAATTAACTATATGTAGTCATATTTTTACTTTTTAACATGTATACATGTGTCAGTGTCGCACGTTCTTAAAATTGACAATTTAATTATATATATATAATAATATTTTATATTGTTTAAGAAGTAGTTATATAAATTTTTTTCTTGTATACAGTGTTATGAAATAAGTAATATTTGTTTTCCGTAAGTAAAATTAGGTCCTTCTAGGCTATAATGAAACAAATCCGACTGCCGACTGGTGTTTTTGTTTGGGATGTGAGATACCCCCCCCCCCAAGACCTCCCTTCGGGACGGCCCTGCATACATATATTATATACCTACTAGATTTTGACGGATTGTTCAGATTTAATAAATTACGCAATGCACCACATAAAAAAATGTTAAATATTTAAGAATCCGTTAATCCGTTATTCATGTTAATGACATTTTTAATCCACCAAAATTATACTAATTACTTTTGAAATATTGTAATTCAAACAGTATTTGTGACTGAATATTCTTAGATGTTCATAGTTTCAATGATGATATAATATGTAAATATGTCAGTATATTATTTACATAGACTTTTTATTAAGTATACATTGATGTTAACGTCAATGTCTTGAATTTTTCAATTTCTTGATCACTTTTCCTGTGGTCTCAATAGTCGATAGGTACCTATGTACAACAAGAATTCATTGTGTTTATATATGCATCTTCAAAGTAACTTGGTAAAATATATGTTGATAAAAAAAAATAGTCATTCTTTCCAAATAAATAACTTCATATACCTAGTTAATATTATTTCAATATTATACAATATATTAAATTATTGTATTTTAAAAGTATATATACTTATATTATCATCAAATCAAATATATACCACACAATGGAATGTTTATTGATAAAATAGTACTATATATGGATTACATGAGAATATTACATGAGGTTTATTTTAAGTAACGTTTCCTGTTTTCAAACAATATTAATAGTACAACATCATATACCTACTTAATATGTAGGATTGTGGATGTACCTATGTTTAAATTATTTCAAATTTTTTTTTCAAATTTGAAAAATATAAAATTTATATAATATGATGTCAGTTTTTATTATAAATATAAATGATGTAAAGAAAATAATAGTAAAATTTGAAAATTACAATTTTGAATAAATAATTTTAATTATAAGCTGGTTTTTTAAGACAAAAATATTAAAAATATCATTAATAAATTGATAGCAGTTAAATATTTAATTAAAATTATCCACAAGATTATTATTTCTATGTTAAAATAAATAACCAATCCATTTTATTAAAAAAGAGCAGAGCGCATACCTAGCGCTAACCTTTAAAAAAATTTTTTTATTTTTTTTAAATATATTTTGTTACATTTTAGTTTTATTTACATTCATATTTAATTCAAAATTAACTCGTTGAAATTTTTATCTGTATATCAATTAATGCATTTTGAAATAGTTTATACAAAACCTAGTTCACGTAGATTATCTAAAAACTAATTTGATTAAAATGTAAAAAGTGACTGCGAGTAAACAAAGTCGAAATATATTTAACAGAGTACAAAGTGCATATGATTTATAATAATCATCAATCATCATAAAATTAAATAAATGACCTCGTATGACCTTGTATTTTTTAAGATTAATTTAGGTAAATCTATAGATTTAATAAATCCTCTAATACCCGCACAGTAGTAGAATACAGTAGACGTCCTTTTTGGTTTACCGACATTCAATCGAATTTCGAATATACTATTAACACAAACACTTTAATTTTTAGTATGCTAGATGTTAATTTATCTTCTTAGTTTTTTTTTTCGTATGTACTACTTATTATCATTCTAAAAAAATAATAGACCAACGAATATGGCATTCGAAAAGTTGTATCCTATATTTCACATATTATTTACACTGGTGTTCTTCGTGAGTGGGCTAATTACTAATTTATTCCAATTATTATTTTTCGTTTTATTGTGGCCACATAATAAGGAACTTTTCAGGAAAATCAACTATTTCTTTTCATATATAATTTACTCAGGTATAATTTACACATTAACTTTTATTCATAAATTTAATAATAATTATATTATAAATATATAAATGTGTTTGTGTGTGTATGTTCATTACGTGTTATTTTCTAATCTTTTCATCTTAGTAAGGACTTTAAAATCATAAATCCTACGATTATGTTCGTATTATGTTCTGTCCATCAGTCTTAAGTCCAAACATTTGTTTGACTAATAAATGAATTGAATTTTTACACTTATTTTTGTGAAAAGTTTCATAGAAAGTAATATTTAACAGTCATCTAATTCTATTTAAAATTAATATGTTATATAAAATTATTTGAACAATATTTTATTAATACAATTCCAATTGGTTTTTCGAGTCTGCACTCAATGTAATCAATTATAATTAATGTAAATAAATCTTTAGAATGTGTGTTTCTGTCTGACTGGTGGGCTGGAGTGCAATATTACTATTACGTAGATAAAGAGGATTACAAATATTTTGGAAAAGAACATGCGATATTGATTATTAACCACAAATACGAAATTGACTGGCTAACTGCTTGGGCTATTACCGATCGAATTGGAACTCTTGGAGTAAGTAGTTTTACTTGATTATAATCATTGTTAATTTTCAAATTAATATTATAAATACATGAATTTGATACAAATTTAAAAATATTTTTTTTATTTAAGAATTGTAAAGCTTTCTCAAAAGAAAGCCTGAAGTACATGCCCGTAATGGGTTGGTGTTGGTGGTTCTCTGAATTTTTATTCCTTCAGAGGGACTTGGCAAAAGACAAGTATACTATTGAAAATAAACTCAAACTATTATTCGAGTATACAAGCCCAGTTTCGGTACGTTTATATACATTTATATTCATTTTTTGATAAATTAACTATATAATTCTGGTTTTATTCGAATGAAAAATTAACGTAAAAACTATATTTTAAAATGTTCGTACAGATGCTACTGTATGCAGAAGGTACTCGATTTACGAAAGAGAAACACGAGGCAAGCATAAAATTTGCTCAGACTAAAGGATTACCAGAATTAAAAGAACACTTGCTGCCGAGGACTAAAGGTTTTACTATTGGACTGCCACACTTCAGACAAAATTTACCGGCCGTCTATAATGTTCAGATTGTGTTTAAAGGGTACATTTACATTTTCATATTATATGTTATAACATTTGCAAATTATTATATTCATACTAATTAATGACGTAAGTTCACATAGTACTGGTAAAGATTTAATAGAGATACATTTTATTACCCAGGGATGAAAAGCCGTCGTTAAAAGCGTTGTTGAATGGTCGACGATTAGAAGCACACATATACATGGAAAGAATACCTATCGAACAGATTCCAGTGAACGACAAAGAGTGTGATAAATGGATGTACAACATATACGAGAAAAAAGTAATGACTTAATGAATTATTTACTGAATTTCTTTAAAATCATTTCTAGAATTTCATGAATCACAAATTAACCTATTTATATAAATTATTGGTGTTTAATTTCAATTAAGACGCATATTAATATTGTTATTAACAAGCCTGAGAAATAACGAGTTAATAAGTTAAAAGTTAAGTTAATTTAACTTATTAACTTAACTCATTTCCTTACAGATTAACTTGAAATTAACATATTATTTTTTTATTATTGAGTAAAAATAGCTATGACACCTATGAATTACATTACCATTGTCATGAAAAGTGGCTGTAAATCTATATTGCATAAATAGGTACATATTATCATTGATTATAGAATACAATTATTCCTTAATCGATGATATTACTAAATGAGATTGATATTATTAAATATTATTGTATATGAAAAGAAATCCAAAAGCTGATCAAAATTTTGAGATACTCTTTTACTGAGATTCAATAGGTATTTTGATTAACCTGTCCATTATATTGTGTTATTTGTTTTGATTTTAATAAAGTTAAATAATAATTTATATTTATTATAATATTTTGAATCTACTGTATACATTTATTGTCTGTATAATTTTATAGTTACACTTTCAGCTGCACTAATTATTTTTAGTTATCATACTGTTATTGAACATTAAAAAGAATAAATTTTTAAATTATATTTATTATATGTTACTTGTACGAAAAATTAATAAATAACAAACTATACATAAATTACCGTAAATTTGATATTTGAGTGCTCAAAAATATATCCAATAAAAAAAATGTATATTTTTCTACTCTAATTAAAGTTCAATAAAAAGTTTTCTTATATAAGATTTTTCTGTTTTTTCATTATTATTAATGTTTATTAAGATCTGTTGTAAATTGTTAATATATACATAAGTGATATATATCAGTTATATCAGTACTTAATGTACTTTTTTTTTGTAATTAACTTAATTTAGATATTAATTGAAATAATTCAAAAATATTAAAATTAAATAATAAGTATGAAAATAATATTAAGTTTGTAAAAGGTTTTTAGTATAATTATAACTTATAATTATATATGTATGTATTTTTTTAGATTCATAAAAATAATATTATAAAAGTTTATACTATACATTTAATATAAAATAAAAATAAAAATTATTATCATTCTAAAAACCAGTAGAAATAAAACTTTTACAACTCACAAAGTAAACGAAATCTATAGCATTCATCTGCTTTTTTTTTTACTTGAGAACTCGTTCAGAAAACAAATTGATTGGTTTATTACATATATATGACCATGTTTAATGAACGAATTGATGACTAAGAAAATAATAATAACTTGCGATTTCTTAATCACATCTTAAAATCATTTCTAGATCAATTCTTAACATTTATGGTTTAATATAACTTCAAATCTATTCAATAATTTTGATTTGCATAATTGATAAGTTTTGAAATTATATCCATAAATTTAATCAGTATTCAGTACAGTTTATTATTGCGATAGCCAAATGATAAAATGTTATTACTGAAAACATTATTTTTCATATTTGAGTTATTAAACTCGTATATGAAAAATAAATATATTCAATAATATATTATATATATTATATTACATATATATTATATTTTATATATATTATATTTTATATATATTATATTTTATATATATATTCAATAATATGTTTACTTATAGGATACAGTTGTATTTAAATAATTATTGCATTTTAAATGTTTTTAAATAAGATAAAATGATGGTTAGCTTTATGAACACAGGAGATTGGTTTAAGGAGAGTGGCGTATCGCCATACGATAAATTTGTGCCACCATATAGATACGGTTGTATTATTAATATGATATTTTGGTCATTAATCATTTTAGTACCATTTTTCTATTATGTATTCAAAATATTTATTTCGGGAAATTTGCTTCATATTATATTAATGACAATACCGATTGGTTTACGTAAGTCTAATATGCATACATATAATACATAAATACATCGTAAAAATAGTTTTTAATTTTCAATTAAGTAATGTAAAAATATTTTTTTTTTCCAGTTCATGTGGCTTTATCCAAATTAGTGAGCATCTCTGAAATAAATAAGACGTCTTCAAGTTATGGTACCGATAAACAAAAAATAAAATAAATAGTTTTTTTATTTCTGTAAACGCAATATTATTTGTGTGTTATTATACATCGAAATATGTGTTTCTCAAAGATAATATAGATACTACTGTTTATCATTTATTCTTGTGAATATATTTTAATTAACGTAAAACAATTAAAAAGATAAATTAATAATTACAATTCAATTTTTATTTATTAGCTATAATTATACATCGTATAGTAGGGGAGTAGATAGTAGAACATTTTCGTTCATAGGAAATAATAACCTTCACAGTAGCCAGTAGGTTTTCTGATTGTAAGCAACCTAATGTAATAACGCACGTCAATATAATTGTGTATCTACGCGTAATTTTTTCTTGGTAAATTAATCAACATAATTTAAAGACGGTCATACTTTTTTATAAAATTTTAAAATAATTTTGTGTTGATATTAAACTTCAGACCAGACCGCGATATATTTTTCCAGACATACGTAATTAACGCAATCGCAATTATCGCAATAGTATCACGGTTCAAAATGCTAATAAGCTGTATATTTAAGACCCGTCATCTATCCGTTGGCATATGTAATTGTTTAAAAAGATACATAACACCGGAGTATGCCCAACACTCAAATAACATCAACTCAAGTGAGTTAAAAGTTATAAATATTCCTGTATTGGAAAATCATACCGCACTATAATTATTAATATTTTGTCTCAAAATAAATAATAATAGCAGTCATGATGAATAATTTTACTAACTCACTCTACCTTTAAGGAATGTACACAACCTTAATCTAACTCAGTACTTGTAGTATATTGACAATAAGTCATAAAACTGAAAATGAAAAACAATTTTCCTAGCCAGACTTCAACGCACGTCTAATAAATGATTTAAGAGCTAACGGAATAGATTAGTTACATAAAAGTTTAAACTTTTTATTATTCTTATTATAATAATATTAATTGCATTACATACGTATATTTATGATACATACTGTATATATACTGTAGAATATAGTTGTATACTATATATACATATACATACACAAAGGCGTGATTAAAGGGGGAGGGGGTGTTCAAACAAATATAACATTGTTATAACAAATATAGGAAAAAAGTATTGTTTAGTACCTATTTTAATATAATTAAGTTTAATATCATAAACATTTGGCAGGGTATTTATACAATCCATTGATTTAGTATTTTAAAATAAATTTTTAACAAGATTGTTATTTGGTGAAATAAATACTTTTGAAATACGTGATAGTAAAAATATTCAATCCTCCTCGAAATAAATGTCTAGGCACACCCCTGTATATACATTATAATATCAACGCTACATTATTTAACAATGGGATGTGAGAGTTACAAGTTTCAAATTGACTTCTGTACAATATACGAATACATTCTACCGTTACTTTATTTGAGGGGGAACGCAAGGGGACGGAGTACCCCAACTAATTTTCAGAAATTTTAGCGTCCCCCTACTATTATTATGTTATAATTATAACGCTTAACAAGTTTTGGGGACGCTCTTTTTTTTAAAGTAAATAGAGTCCTCCTTCTTAATTTTCGACAGTTTAACTGTCGAGCATTGCATTCTACTATTTCACTTGTACGTTTGAATTGAGTGTTTGATGGTATATAAAAAATTGCACTGAACAACCCAATATGGTATCGTCGTTACAGCTGGTTTCATATATTCGCTTGATTTATGTACTCGGTTGAAAACTACTTTGTTTTCTGCATGGGAATAACGTGTGATGGTCGTACAGAACGCAAAACAATAACAATAACATTAAACGAATTTATATCGACACGGCAAATCGATCGGACGTGTTATCGTGTACGGCGGTCCGGAATCGCGAAATAATAGTGGACCACGGGTACTAAGAAATGTGAAACGTTGGGAAAAACAAAATTTTAAAACATTCCAAAACGTTCGGACGTTCGGCGAGACTGCTGAACGATCGAAAATAATGCACAATCCGTCGGCGGAGTACGAAAACCGGAATGCTCCGACGGTTGACGCGGATTTTACCGTTAAACGCAGCGGTGTGTACCAGTGTTCGGTGGAACTCGGATCCCTCGGGACAATAGTGGTATACTGCCGACAAGATAATATTCTTGCGGGGTATAGCCCCTTCCCACCACACTACACACGCGCTGGGCTTTACCCGACGAAGGGCGTGATGTCCGCAAGACCCCGCGGGATCCGAGACGCACAGACGAGCCTAACCGGCAGGAGTACAACCGAAAGGATTTTTAAAAAAAAAAAAAATGGCCTGAACTCTCACTATTACGGCATGGACAGCGTTGCGATTGGACGGCGATCGGGCGAGCAGCGGTGGCGACGGCGACGGGCAAACCGTACCGACCGATCGGCAGCCACAACGCGGTCGGCCCAACGGCGATCGCGCGAATCGTTGCGAGTCTGCATGTCCTGGGACCCTGGTACGAATCCAGGCAAGTGATGCGTCCGGAACGGTTTGACTCAAAATGCACACCGCGCGAACAGCGAGTGCCCAAAATGTCGGTCGCGGCGCGCGTACGGGGGTCCCCTTGGCTCGGCCTGCGCACCGGCCGGCGCGTTGGGGCAGGTCATGGTTGCAGGCGAGTCCACCTTGGTCGATCGGGTAAGAGACCTTCAGCGGCCCATCCGGCTGCGTACGGTTCCTTACCCGACCGGTGACCCGTGAGCTCGCCCGCTACCAAAGCGCAGTGAAATGCACGTGCTTATCACTGGCGCACGTTATCACGCCGCCGGCAGCGTTTTCGAAATCGTAATGTCGTCGCCCACGACGGATTCTCCTCTCTCGCGACCGCAGTCCTTTGTCTCGGTGTCGGTCTCATGCGGCCCCGTTGCATTCTTATCTCTCGATCCGTAGCACGACAACAATAGTTATACTGTATTGTACGATTAATGATAACGTGAAGTTTTATAATGGACCGCAGATTGGATTGAATTGGACTTGTAAGTTTACAGTTTGTAATGCATTGTCGGTGTACGTTTCCGGTGAGCGGCGAAGAACGTCGCTTGCTCTCGTAAAAGCGAGGAATGCTTGCCCATTAACGATTTTCAGTTTTGTCATATGCTCGTCACCCGTACTTTCGATATTATTACAGTAGGTTTGTGTCGTGGCATCGTTCTTGCTTAACTATTAGGTAAATAATACAGCTAATAATATGCGTACACAAGCTCTCGAATGAGCTTTGATTTTTAAGTATATGAGTATTTATTTATCATAAAGTCAAATAAACTTAAGTCAGTTTATATGTGTGCCAATGTTCCTTACAATTTATAATTATCAAAACTGTTTTATTAATTACACATAAGAAGTGGAATAATAAAATAATAAAATATTGCTACTAAAATTACTTATTTGTCAAACTTACGCTAAAAATGAGTTATAAATACATTTGCATAGAACAAGTTAAAAAAATACTATGATGAAGACTTTTCATTGAATTATTCTTTCAATAATTTATCAATGTAAAATATTTCATATACATGTTATTTTTTCAATTATTTTAGGTATTCTACTTATTCGTCGGATCAATTGATAATGTGTAAGTACATTTAAAATTGTAATGATTTATTTTCATTATTATTTTCATTCATGTTCTCTAATGTCATTCAATATTCTGTACATTTTTAGCTAACATTTTATATGCTCCACTATCACAAGCGACTTTTGAATCATCTGCTGTCGCAAAAGTAGAAAGTCCATTGACTGTGACTGAATTAGCACGACAGTTGTTGCCATTGAAGGTGACAAATAAAGAAATAGATTCCGGACTAAAAAGAGTAAGTGAATTTTAAGAAAAATTCAAAGTATGTATCAGAACTCAAAAATATTGTGAATCTTAATCCAATTACACTTTACAGATTTATTGGCTTGGCAATTATACACATAAAAAAAAATCAAAATCTGTAGATAACTGTAAACAAAATAATCAATTGAAACGAATTCTAGGATTAAGTCGTCCTCCAAAAAATGTTTTATCTTACTTGGATGCTATGAAATTAAATGAACTCTGGGTATCATATATAAAAAAAATTATAAATTTTGATGATCTCCGTAAAAGAGGGTAAAATAAAACTAGTGCGTTGGTTACTTGAGATATCTTATTAATCATTTTAACCATAATTTTAAAGGTGGGATGGTACTCCAGGATGTAAACATTGGGAAGCATTATTGACATCGTTGTACAAGTGTGATTTTCATGGTGCTCATATTAAAGTGATCAGTTCCAAGTGCTGTTCATACATCATGGTAGCTGGTGTTATAATTCTTGAAACAAAAAATACTTTCCAAATTATAGGAGTTGATAACAAATTAAAAAGTTAGTTATAAGACATATTATAATGATATCTGTATTTTATAACTATGTTTTTTCAGCTATTCCAAAGGAACAGTGTATATTTGAATTAAACCTAGAAGGATATTTCATTCAACTTTATGGCAAACATTTTATAATCAGATCGAAAGACCGATCAAAAAAGAAACTAAAAGAAAATTTGATTTTAGAACTGTAATAATTTGACTAAAAAGTGTATCCTTACTATTTTTTTAAATTATTTTAAATTTTATATCTTAATATGTATACTGCCAAAGTTATCCATACATTGCAATGACCACTTTATACACATTATATCTATTGAGTTGAATATGTTAAAAATTTATTGATAAAAATCCTTAGAAATAATCATATATATTATTTGTATAACAGTATTCATAGTTATATTATTAATATCTTATAGTTAATAATTAAATTATATAAAATACAAATGCATTGAAAAATTACTTGCTAATCAAACTGTTTATGGGCACCATTGCTTAATAATTAACACATTTGAGATTTTGCATTTTATGTAGAAATAAATTAAAATTATTTATGCATTATGCAAGACTAACTAATGAGTAATCTAATCACGCTAGAATAGCCTTATTATATACTGTTGTGCATGAAACGTTTTGTAATTATACATACTATCATACTGCATAACCATAAGTATTCAAAATCATATTATAATAACACTTAAAATATTAATTATACTTTGTACGTTACAAAAAATTATTATTAATTATTAAAGTATTAAAATCACTCTCACCAAATTTATTCTGAATGATAATAATTCAATATTATCACACATAACAATTTTTATAACAGTTTTAATAATAAAAAGCAGAAGTTTTGTGGTCAAGTGAAATTGGTCTAAATAAGTAAACCAGCGTTTCCCAAACTGTGGTCCGCGGATCCTTAAGGGTCTGCACGCACACAGGAGGGGGTCCATGAACGAAAATTTAAAATATACAAATTATTATTATTTATTAATATTTTTTAATTTTTATTTGTACTAAGGGGTCCACGATAATTTTTATTATCTAAGGGGTGTGACAGAAAAAAAATTTGGGAAACACTGAAGTAAACGATACAGACATATAAAAAGGTTGGTTAAACCAATGATTAACAGTATTTAAAAAGTATTGGTCTCAATAATAATTGAAAATTATTATGTGAAACACATTTACTGTACATATTCAAGTTTAGTTCTTTTGTGAAGAATTGTTTTTGTTAACACAGTAAATCCATCTTTAAAATTATATGCTGCATTTATTTAAAATAAAAAATTAGATAGGTATTCATGGAATTTAACATAAGTCATTGATTTTTTCAGTAATTCTACTGCTATAAATTTAATTTTAATAAAAAACTGATATAATGTTAAATGTTGTTTTGCAAACATTTAATTTTGATAAAATAACCAATTTTCTGTTTTATTGACAATTTTTCAAGGCCAAAGTATTCTTTATTAGCTACTAGTATTCTTAGTTTTACCTCATTATGTATATTGTTTTTATTATTAGTTCCAAGATATTTAAAGCCCATTATAGTTTGAAAGGTATATTTGTTGACTACTAGAGTTAGTGTGTTTCTTATTGTCCTATCCATGGCCATATATTTGGTTTTGTCTTGGTTAGTCTCAAGATCAATGGATTTGGCTACCGTAATCAAGTCTGTGAATATGTATATATACACATATTCATATATATATTATATGTCTCTATTTTATAATTTTATAGGTATGTAATTATTATTGGCAAAATCAAAACCTTATCTAACATTAAATGATTACAAAAATTATAGTTACACATTTTCCAATTGTTTATTATTTATCATAAAATATGTAAGTTTCTTGCAAGTAATTTTCAAAAATAATATATAAACTTTTTATGATTTATGTCTAATGGTACCAATATCCGAATTCCTATAAAAATACACGTCAGTTGCGTTGTTGCTCGTGCGATTGTTGTACGGCGTTATTCTTATAATATATATTTTTGTTGGACTGTAGTAATAACTTGAATCTAGTTATCAAATTTATTGCAAATCAGTTAACTCAATAACAACTCGATGTAAAAGTTGAGTTAGGGAATAATACATGAATTAGTTCATCTCTATTCCAGAAACAGATTATGGTTTGAAGAAATCTGTGAAAAAAAATTGGACTAAAAAAATATTACTTTCATTAAATATATTAAGTATTTTTTCGGTTAATTCTGTTTTTAATGAATATCGATATGATATTACTTTATTTCTATTCCTTGAAGTTGATATCCTAAAAACATTTTACAGACAAAACATTTGTAGGATTTTTCGCGTCATCATTAATTATTGATCAAATTACAAGGTCAGTTCTCGGGAAAATTATTTTTGGGCGATTTATATAATATACATGCCACACAAGTGTTTTTTTACTTGAAACTAGTGAACAAACCTTATGCCTGTGAATGAATTCGTATGATCTAAATAGTTTTTTTTCTTTTAATAACAAGAAGGAAAAGGAAATTAATTGTCGCTGTGTACTTATAAGCCTTATAATTATATCAACTCGAAATTCTTCGTATCAGCTAACGAAATCTTGCGCAGTTTGAATATTATAATATTGTATACAAATTATTATGCTATTTAAACACGTTCAAGCCGGCGCCGTGTGTTTTCTATCAACACTTCTGATATAATTATCGTACCATGTACAGGTTTTTAAATACAGCACTCGTTTTGTGATAGCGATGTTTTTATTATTTTCCACACCGTGTGATTATGTCAGATCATTATTCGCGTATAATTTTATTCTATATGTAAATCATGTTTTCACAGTGCCTCGTTTGGCGTTCGACACATACACACACACACACATACACGTATTAGCTATAGGTACGTATTATATCGCAGACGCACGAAAACTTGTTGGCGCTAGGCTATAAGCATTTAACATAATATTACTGTGGTCTGCGATACCACCATAGCTCAATAGTACTTTTTATCTCGAGGACCAAAATAATATGGAGAGTGAGGACAAATCAATTGTAACGACAACACAATTAAATGGATATACATACTATATAATATATTGAAAATGGGTAACATAGTATAATTATATATGAGTATTTAAATATATATAAAATAGGAGTATTATACAAAGGTAAGAGCAAAATTATGAATAAAATAATCGACATAATTAATATTGAAGGTTGATAGGTAATGATAACGCAAACGTGACAATCTAAACAATGGAATAGGGTAGTAGGGTAATAGAATACTTCATGACCCAAAAATAAAATCCACTGAGGAATTATTGAAATTTCAAAATTACGGAATTTAATTAAATATAATAATATAATATAATAATAAATATAATAATTGTGTAATATTATATTTATACAACGTAATACAATTCGATGGTAAATTTTGTTTATTTTGACGAAATAAAATGTAATTAAAACATTGTTAGTATTAAAATCATAAATATGTTTCTTTATAGATATGTTAATTCAAAGAGAACGAAAAAAAGTCGTACGCATTTACCTATTAATTATTCGATACGTGTGTTTAATATTTATCTATACTTACTCTATATGGTATACTCTACAAGTGTGTTGGTTACAACTAATAAAATAATAATTGAGTTTACACCTTGACGAATTTTCGGTACAATTTTGATTAATTCGATTAAAATAAGCGTCGATTTTGATAATCACTGTTGAATTATTTAAGCTAAGACTAAACTAGAAAATAAATAAAAGGTTCAAAATAGTAGTAGGTACAAGTCAATAATTTTTTTTTTTTTTATGGTAAGTTATCAATAATTATACACATTATGATTAGTTGATACATGTGATATTAACGAGCATGACTTTTGCAATATGGCCTTCCTCCTTTTGCAAAGAAGCTCTGTCCTTCCAAATTCACCTTACATTTCTGTAAAAATAATATTAAAAATTAAATAAATCACATCAAACAGTATTTTCGATAATATCAAAAGTATAACGACATCAAAGGAAATGTGGAGGAGAAAACGAATAGTTTAACATACCGAACAATTAAAGCACGGACTATGATAATTGTTATTTAAAGCTTCGACCCAACGGTCACCAGCCTCAATTGGAAAACCACAAGCTATACACTTGGTTGTGAAAAGCTCATTCCAATCTATAATACATAATTTTAATCAAATATCATTATAAATACACATGGTAATGATGTGTATTTCCATATATTTGAAAAAAAACAAAAACTTACCATTTTCACAGTATGGAAGACTATCTTCCAAAAAGAATGGGCTATTGCCAAAAAGCTTGCCGCAATATGTACAATTGAAACATTCGGGGTGGAACTGTTTGCCAATAGCATTCAAACAATCCTAAATAAAATTAATATCGTAATAAGTATGTACTTTTGAATGATTGTCGAATAATTGGTTTATAGTATGAATCCGAAACAATTATTAGAACATGAGTGAAATAATATTATTGATTGAATTACCGCTTTAATTTTCTTGGAGCACTTGGAGCATACCGGTGCTAAGTATTGTTCGAAACAGTATTCGCAGTATAGACCATTGTCTTCTTCAACAAATCCAATATCTTGTAATGGACGCTTGCATTTTTCGTTTGTGCACACAAAATGTTCTGGACACCAAATTTTACCGAGAGCAGTAATAAACGGGCCTCTACGAGTAAATAATAAAATATTAAGTTAAATCATAAAATAAAAAATTAAATAACTAGCACAGGAATTAAAAACAAAACACAAAAGCGAGAAGCAAACAAACCTTGTAATTTGGGTTCGACAACAATTACACTCGGGATTTTTAAGGTTAGTTTCTTCATTGTTGTCTTCGTCTTCTTTAATTGTGAGCTTCTCATATCCTGAGTGGTTATTAAAATCGTGAGAAGCAAATAAACAAAATTGTCAGTGAGTTATAAAAACCGAAACATTGTTAGAAAAAAAAAATTGTTGCCTTGTCCATCACTTATAAGTTATAACTAATGATATCACACCTGAGCCACGAGATTATAAAAGTAGATTAACTAATACACACACGAACACCCTGAATCACACAGCACTATTATTTACCTTATGTATAAATTGCATTGTCCACATAACGGCACTCTTGCACCCGGGGTCAAATTTTGTGGATTCAACACTCCGCGACCCCTTTTGGGGGCAGTAAGACCTGCCGAAGCACCGGTTCTTCCCGTTGGCTGACCACCTATATCGGGTTGGGGTATAGGTGTTGGAATATATTTAGGTTGTTGCTTTTTTGTAAAACATGTTAATTTTTTAGATAACAATGAAGCAGGTAATGATGTTTTAGGCATAGGGCCGACCGGTTCTACAGTATTAACATTAGTTACCAACATTTTAGGAAATGGTGGTGGAGAAGAGATAGGCATAGGAGAAGTTATAGAAGATTTAGCGTTGGATGTGTTATTAGGTGAAGCGGCTTCAAAATTACTCGATATTATGATATTGGGATCAGTATTTTCAAATTTAGATGTACATCCTCCTAAAGAAGATGGTTCAAATCCCAAGGTAACCACTTTTGTATTTATATTACGTTCTTGTTTTAAAAATGTTTCATTTTTAATAGATCCTTTGGAAGTAAATGTTGATACTTTATCTTGAATTCCCGGACCAATCTTTTTCTCAGGGAATTTTTCACTGGGGATTGTAGCCTGATGAGGATTTTCTGGTATACTTTGTTGATATCTTGGTATATCTGATGGCTCGTGAAGACCAGAAGCAGTGAATGGATATCTAGGTAAACATTTTGATGGTTGTTCTGTAACTGTTTCTTCGTTCGCTGGTTCTTCAAATTCTTCGATTTTTGGTACATCAAAATTTAATTCTTCGATGTATTCAAAGTCAGGTTCATTCCGATCAAAATCTCCTGCTGCTGTTGATAATTTCAGCTCATCAGAAACCGGAGGAAATGATTTTAACCCCAACATTGCTATTTGTTCTTCTTCCGAATCAACTGCTGATATAGGTGAGTATATTAAAGACCGAGTCATAAGTAAAGGTACAGCCGGCTCTTTTTTATTATATCCATGCATATATCTAACAGGATTGTTTCCTATAGGTCTTGCTGGTATTTTAGATTCAGGTAATTTATAACTACGATCTGGAGCTACTGTTAATGCATCTGCCATGGTCATTGATTTTTGTTCTTTAACGAGTTCTGTTGGTTTTGATACGAATTCAGAAGCGTCCACAAAAGAAGGGAGAGGAGAATAACTTCTATCAGGAGCTATTGTTAATGCAGCTACCAGTGGCGATTCTGCTCTTTTGTTTTCAACTACAGGAGTCACTAATTTCGATCTAATTATAGGTTCAGCATTATCAATATGAGAAGTCTGTTGATTTTGTATTATATCAATATTTTCAAATTTTGAATCTTCATTTTCATGGAACTTTGGATTATAATTTTGTGTAACCTCTTTCAAGTATTCAACTGTAGATTGAGGTATAAGTTGATCTTGTCCGACATTTATATCGGATTTTTCGGATTTTGAAACTTCATATTCATTGATATTTTGAACACAATTTGGTTCAACAATTTCTAAGCATTCCACTGTTGTTTTTGAAATTGTACTTTCTACTTGATTAACGGCAGAAGAAATTAAACACGGTGATTCAGTTTCGGCGTTGATTTTGTGTAGTGGTTGTGGTGTAGAAGTCTTTGATCTACAATAAGCTTTAAATTCTGGTGGCATTTCTGGTGGAAATATCACTAAATGTGTTGGTGAAATGGATCTGATAGGATTATTTGGTGGTAAAAGTGATCGAATTTCTTGAGATACCTCTGAAGTATGGGTTTCTGGATGATTATATTTTTGGATTGGAGACTCAGATCGCTCTTTTTTGGAAGATTCTATCAACATTTGTGTGGAAATTGAAGCACTTAACGTTTCTTTGCATTGATTTAGTGTACGAGATATACTTTTCGCACACTCAGTGGAACATATGTTGGAGTCAGTAGTCAATGGACTTAACTTCACAGGACAAAAAGCAGAACCGGTCGAAGGTTTTGGTTTTAAGAAAGGTAATCTTGGTTGGGGGTTAATAGAACTTTTAAACGCATCTATCGTTAGTATTTTAAGGTAAAAACCAAATAAAAAATTTCAATTAATTTTTATTCTGTCAAAAATAAAATATATATTTAATATATTATTCTTAACTTAAGTGGAAAATGTCTAGCCTAAAATTAACAGCGGTGAATTAAATAGTAATATTATACATTAACTTAAAATTTTAAATTTTTTTTATTTTTTTATTGACATTTTTAATTTTAAATATTATAAAATAAAAAAATTTAAAACATCAAACTTTATATGAAAATATATTAGTATTAAAGGATAAAATTGCTATGAAATTGAACATAAAAATTAAAATGCGATCAGAAAGAATTGTTATATGGAATTATTTAATTACGAATTTTGATGTGATTTCTCAGGAATCGGGTTTGTACATTTGAGTAAAATTTAGAGTCGAAGGAAAATATGCACTAGAAAAAAATGGAACAGCCTTACTCAATTTTACAGCACTTGAATGATTACTCTTGATATAGGAGCCGCTATCCACTGACCTAAATTTGTTACTTAGATTTTCGACGATATTGTTATTACCACCAGATGGTTGTTTTAAAAATGGAGTGTCAACAATTGAAGTGTTTGATGTGAAAGTAGACACTTTATTTTTAATACCAGGACCTAAAGGCCTATTTATAGTTGATTTGTTATCCAAATTTGATGATTGTTGTGGTTTAGTTAAGTCTTGTTTAGTTTGTAAATGATTAAACGATACATTTTGATCTGAATTAGTAGGTATATCTTCATTACGAGTTTTGCACTGTTTCTCAAAATTAGGCACTTGAGTAATAATAGTTTCATTGTAATTCGATTTGCTTTCTACTGGTTTGTAGGGACCAGAAATGATTGATTTTTCACTTAAAGATGATAAAGGTTTAAATGAAAAACTGGTAATTTTTGCCGATTGTGAACTCGAAGTTGGTATTGGCTTAGGTGATGGTTGATTATTCTTGGATGATATATTAGATATTTTATTATTATATCCATGCATATATTTAACAGGATTATCTCCTATAGGCCTCGTTGAAGATTTTATTTCAGATGGCTTTAAATCTAAACTTTGAGGTAATACAGATTTATCAATAAAATGCATTGGTTTTTTAATATCTTTTAAGTCATTTTTAAATGGTGTTGGTTCAAGCTCAGATGCATATACAAAAGTAGGCAGAGGAGAAAAGTTTCTTTCAGGAGCTATCTTTAACGCTGCTATTAATGGCGATTCTGGTCTATTTTCATTTTCTCTAGGTAATGATATCCAAGGTGTTGGTTTTATAATAGATTCAGTCATAACAATTGGAGTAAATGGCCGATCAGGAGCTATTTCCATAGCTGCACTAATTGGACCATTCAACCATCTCGAATCATGAATTGTTGGTAAATATTTCAAATTTTTTATCTGAGAATATCCATCTGCACTTTGAGAAAAAATATTTCTTTCTTGAGAATTACTTTTAAAATTAATTGGAAAAACGGGTTCTGTCACAGTAATGGTTTGATTTTTTGGCTCGATTGTTGGTGATTTTAAATAAGTGTGGTATTGTGTTGGTATCTCAGGTGGAAAAGTTATCAATTGATGCGGTGAAATAGCTCTAGTATTATTATTCAGTGGCAATAAAGATTGGATTTCATGGGGCACCTCTGCAGAAGTGAAATCTTGACCTTTATCGTCTGGAATTGGTGATTGGGGTCTTCCTTTTTTTGTTATTTCTATTAATAACTGATCTACAATTGAATCATTTAATGAATGCTTAAATTCGTTCATGGTGCGGTTCACTTCTTGAGAACAGATGGATGCACGTTTTCCAGAATTATAAGATACTGATTTAGGTACTACGGGACAAAAGGCAGAACCGGTCGATGGTTTTGGTTTTAGGAAGGGTAATCTTGGTAAAGTGTTAGTTTTATACTTGGAACCTTCTAAGTTAGCAAATTAAGGCAAAAAACCAATGAAAATAAAGATTGATTAATTGGTTTTTTTGTGTGTTTATAATAAAATATACATATTTATAAGCATTATTTTCTAAATAATATGTAAGCTTAACAATAGTATTACATTCTTGTAAGTATTCATTTATATATTCATTTAAGCCTGTTACCAAAACCTTAATATTTAAAAACCTCTACACATTTTATGTTCTGACTTTACATTATATTAAATTATTTAATTCAAACAAAAACGGTGAATAAAAAAAAAGCTTTTCAAAATCATTAAAACAAAACAGAAGCTTTGGATAATTATACAGATATCTAAGAAATCATCGTGACCGAAAAAGGACGAGGTTTGGAGTTGAATGTTTTTATGTCTGAAAAGTGAAAATAGTATGATTTAATTTTCGAAGTTTTTTAATGTTAGTAATATTTATATACTATTTTTAAAATTTTATATTTTTAAATATATTAACCGTTTTTGCTTTTATTAAAAACTGATATCCACAAGTTAAATTTAAATTAACTAAAAATGTATTTTTCTCATTTCGATTTGACTCGGTCAGAATATAATAGTTAGTTTATCTACAGAAATACCGATTCCATAATCGACAGTATAAATTTTAAATGTATTAATAGGTTTAAGAATGTATTATATACTAGTGACCTAAGTACTCATTACCTGCTTACTAATACTTAATACTTTGATCATAAAACAATATTTATAGATGTATACTATATTTTATAATATTTCATGTTTTAATAACATAATTTCAATTATGGAATGGTTTATTATGCACCTGTTATTTTAATATGCATCAATAAATATTTTTATGATTAATAAAAGGTTACCTGTAAAAAGAGATTTTGTTTTCAATTGAGAGTTGAATCCTACAGAAAAAGAAGTATGTAAAATTTATTTGCTATGCAATTTTTAATTTTTATAAAATTTTATTCTTTTTCATTTATTTTTTTATTTTTATGAAATATTAAATAATAAACACCAGCCCTTTTTAATATAGCACTGGAATCAGTAATGAGAGAAACTTTGGATGGAGCAAAGGGAATCAAAATGGAAAATGACCAGCAACTGGTAGTGGCAGGATACGCAGACGATGTTATAATAATGGCAGAAAGCGAGGAAGACCTTAAAAGAATTACGAGTAAACTGATAGAAAATGGTGAAAAATTTGAATTAATGGTGAATGAGGGAAAACCAAAGTACATGATAGTAACGAGACATAATCATGAATTAAGACATTTGAAAGTGAATAATTATAACTTTAAAAGGTTAGCAAACTTCAAATATTTAGGGGTAAATATTAATGAGAATGCTGACAGTCACAAAGAAATAAGACTAAGACTGGTAACGGCAAGTAAATGCTACTTTGGATTAGTACCCCTACTCAAGTCAAAACTACTGTTGTGGAAAACGAAAATAACGTTATACTAAATTCTGATAAGACCGGTAACACTATACGCCTGTGGCGCATGAGTAACAACAAAGACGGATGAAAATAGACTAGCTACGTTTGAACGAAAGGTTCTTAGAAGGATTTTTGGGCCAAAAAGAAATACTCTAGGGGACTTCGAATTAAGAATAAACCGAGAAGTAGAAGAAATATATGGTAAAACAAATATAATTAGAGTCCTTAAGAGTAGTAGACTGGGATGGACTGGACATGTTTGGTGGTCCAAAGGCCCTATAGGATTGGCCACGAGATGGAAGCCGGACACAAAAAGGCCAAGAGGACGACCCAGACAGCGGTGGAAAGATAGGATTATAAATGATGTATCGAAATTGGGAGTAAACGACGAAAAAGAACTAGCTTAAGATAGAGAAAAATGGAGACAGTTCGGTCATTGCGGCAATGGACTTAAATGGCCCGTAAAAGCCAAAATAAGAAGAAGAATAAACCCCATTATCTCGTGAATTCAGTATAAAAACATTTTTTAAGTTTTTTAAAATAAATAATATTATACCATTAATAACTAGAATTATTTTTTTGAACAGATATTTCCATACTAGCAGAACCGTTACTAAACTATGAAAAAAGTCATAATCAAGGCTCGGAACATTATGCACTAAATATTATTAAAATATGTGTTAAAAAAACATCAAAATATGCGGTATAATATGCAGTATAAAATTGGAAAATAATTGCTTAAAAAATAATAGACTGACTACTGACTAGTGTACACTGTACAATGAAGTCGTTTGCATGCAGATGTATGTAGTATTATGACTAACAGAAATAATATCGTGTATAAGCTGATAACCTAATGGTTAAACATATTTGTTTACGAATTACCTATAGTTATACTATTTGTTTATGTCACGTTACAAAATATTAATACAGTGATAAATTTGTATAAAAATAAATACGGTCCGGTGGTGGTCACTATTACGAGTTCTCAGTACTATAGAGATAATAATATTATTGTTAAGTGCATTGGGAACCGGAGCAAAAAAATAATAGCCGTTGATGAATTATTTTATTTTGTCAAATGATATAAAACTTAGAATTTTGGTTGTCATATATCTAATATTTTATTATTAAACTATAAATTTTTTAAAACATTTTTGTTAAATCCATAAAATATACATATAAATGTTCTTAAACTCAAAGTATGCGAATTGGTACAAAAAATAACAAAATATGCAAAATTATGCAAAAACAATTTTTATATCTGAAATATACATACTATGAATCGAATTTGTATTGAATCAGAATTTCAATATGCACTTTCTAGACAAATATGCAAATGCCTAAAGTTCCGAGCCTTGGTTATAACAGTAGAATATAAATATAATAAAATTGTTACAACAGGAGTCACCAAATAATCAAATTTTTACTGGCCTTTAGATGAGCAAAGAAGAAACCGATAATTTAACACATAATTATTACAACGCTTGACTGTTGTAATAATTAATATTATAAATAATTTCTTCTTATATCTGTTTGATTAGGGTTTCTTCGAGAGCAACAAATATTGTAGTTGTGAAGCATACCTTAGCATAGTGTTTCCCAACTTTTATACTAATAAATGTCCTTTGGGTTGGGTAAACGACCCTCAAAAATATAAAAAAAAACCCACCTAATATACTTCACTATAAGAAATTTTAAAAATGTTAACACTATACTACAAAACTGAATACTGATGTACACAATTTTATATAATTTTGATTAATAAGGTATTTTACTTTTCATTAGCTTATGAACAGCGACCCATCAAAAATATTTTGCGACCAATTTTGGGTCTTGCCCATAGGTTGGGAAATGCTGCCTTAGCATATATCTTGTCAACTATTTTAATGTTTATTTTAACCAATTGGAATTATTACAAAATATAATATCTATGTTAAATATATACTTTTGACGTTGATAGCCCACTAGAATTGTCGAAAATTTAATGTAACCTTCGGAAAACATTAATTGGTGACCCCTGAGGTGTTGAAAGAAATTAAGACTATCGGAATACATTTTTCGATATGTCTAGTATAGCACAAAATGTCAATGTTTTTCAAGATAAGATTACTGTTTGAAGATAATAGATAGTCTAGCAACGGATTTCTGAATTATACGTTATATAACTAAAATTAAAATATAATTTTAAAACAACATACCACTCTGAACTTGGTTATATCCACCAGTGAATGCCGGGGGAGCGGGAGTTTGTTTTGGTGATTCATTTGGTTTAGCGTTCGAAAATACTTTTTGCGGAACCTGAAAAATATTATACTCAAAATAAATCACTTCATTGTAAATAATTGCCTCGATATTATAACTTTAATCTACATAAACAATACATTGTTGAAAATGTTAGTTATATTCAATTTGTGAAGCATTAATAACACAAATAAGTACCGTGTGAAAAAACATTTTGAAAATGTTGTTAATGATAACGATACGTAAACATATACCGATGTAAGTACTTTTAGATACTTTTCACATACATATATGTCTAGAATCTAATGTTTGGTAATACAATTTTAATCCTCACACATATTACACTGGCGTGATTAGAAAAAATTAAATATTCATTCTTTAAACTTAAACAAGACAACTATTCTTCATGTTCAACAAATTTTAATACTTACAAATACACAATACACTTTATATTTAATACAAACATTGAATAAATAGAATTAAATTTTTCATTAACATTTTTTTTTTTCTTATCACGCATTAACCACTGAAGTGAACTGTTTTATTGGAAATATAATATGCATGATTAATGACGATATCATATTATATATAAAGCAACCAATCGAAAAAACATTCATTTAAGCAAATAAAAATTATTGCTCTATAAATTCCAATAACAATAAGTTATATTATTAAATTCTAAAAAATTTAAAACCATCATTGTTATTTTTTAATAAAAATAGTCATTAACACGTTTTAATTTTTAACTTTCGCTCAATTTAATAATAACAAATGTAAGTTTTGAAATTCGCCATTTATTACATTGAATCTACCTGCATCTTGGGGGCGTTTACGTGACAAGGAGCTTTTGGAGCCTGTATAGTAAAAATATGTTATATTATAAACATTTTGAATTAGAGATAAATAACCATATACTAAATACTAAAATAATTTTAGTATATTTAATATTTACATAAAAATAAAATACATTTTTATGTTTTTTCTAATGATGGGGGACTGTGACTAAGGTCATTTAAGCCCCATATGTACTTTTGGTATCATATGTTTGTTGGATGTAGTTAGGTGGTAGAACTCATTGAATTGAATAGATTGTTAAAAAGTCTTCTTTTGAATCGCTAACTAACCCCATAATACGCTCAAAAATAAGCAATACAATATTACAATTTGTGTTCAACTATTTTTAATTACCTATATTGCTATATTTTATAATTTAAATTTAATAATATTTGATATTTAAATACATTTCTTACGTGGAATGGTATTGGTGATAAAGTGCTGGGTTGTGGTGATTGAGCTTCCTTCGGTTTAGATGTTATTACATTGAAAGAGCCTGATGGTGGACGAGAGCCTCTAATAAAAATAAAAAAGGAATTAAAATAAATTTATAGCTTTTATTATATTAAATAGAATAATATGTATTTTTGAGTATTTATAAATGGGTTATTAATCGTTTAATAATTTTGATTAATTAGTATCTATGGAATTAACTATTAATTATTAAATTGTATATAGTAATACAGCATTAATAATTAAATAGAATAAATTCAAATAAATTAAAAAATATTATAAAACATTATTTACTTAAATTAAAATTATTAATGAAATTAATTAACTGTAAAAAATAAATTACATAATAAACAACATTATTTGTGAATAAAATTTTAAATTTGGAAAAATGTAATTGTGAATTACATGAATAGATAAATACCTCATATTTATACCTCACTATATATATATAATTTTTTGATTTTTATTAGTGAATTGATGTGTACATCAATATTAAATTGTAACAAAAATTTTAAGGCGTAACAAATGTTCAAATTATTTTTTCCACAAAAAAAAAAAAAAAACGCAGAATACTTTCATAACCTACGGTGCTACTGTAACGGGTTCCAAATTCGGCGCTGGTGGGTTTTGTTTGGCCACCATTTTTGCATGAATATCGCAGTACAGTTTGTTATTAATATTGAAATAGCCCACGTTTTTCAATGAAGATCCACATGTAGCACATTTAAAACATTCGACGTGCAAACTTTTATCTTTGATGCGTACAAAAACTCCGCTAAATAAAAATTTAACCAATTATTTATAGTGAAATTGACAAACAATAATCAATAAATCCAAAAGATATTAGTGCTACGCATGTTAGTCTGCTATAAATGTGACTTGGGTACAGGTATTTAGGTTCTGGTTTGAAAATGACCGAGGAAAGTCCATCGAATCTTACATAATGTCTTTTCTGCAATCGTTGCACTCAACAGGCATATTATTCTCCACTTCTTTAAAAGGAGAACCCAAATAAGGATCTCGTTGTTCTGGCATGTTTATAGCTGCTGCTATAGGTGTCATGGAACGTGGTGACGTAGCACGGCCCCCTATCGCATGGCTTGCAGCCGAGAAATATGCGAATTTCGCTTGAAGGTCTATTTTTTCAAAATAAAATCAATTTCATAGTTATTTCAATTTCGAACAAAATCGAATTTGGCAGTTTTCAAAATTAAATTGTTTGAAAAAGTAACACCGGATACAAATTATAATACAGTATATTTAAAATCAAGAGTTTATCCGAATACTTATAGAATATTTTTTAAAGCGTCACCATAAGCACCAAGCACAATACATAATATTTCTCATAACTTACACGATAAGTCTCTCACAATCTGCGCAAATATTTTGATTAGGAGCGCTTTGTGGTGCTTTTGGTTCTGGTGCGGACACATGCCGCGTAGCAGTTTTGATTATCGGGTCGACAACGCTTTGGTTAACTTCTGCATTAATGGAACATTGTAAACGTTTTAAAAAAACGTATACAACATAGTCATTGAATTGATTTTTTTTTTAAATAACGCTGTTTTTATACTGCGATCAAATTATTCTTTTTTTTTTTTACCTGATTCTATATCTTTCGGTTGTTTATCAGCTTCTTGCACCATTTTAAGTACTTCACTATTGCTGGCCTCGTAATTCTTTTCATTTTTCTTGAAGTTCACTCTACAAGTAATTTTATTAGTAAACTTACGTTAAAAATTAAAAAAAAGTTAAAGATCTACCAACCCCAATACTCCTCCGGCTAATAATTCAGCTTGGGCTGTAAGTGTTTCGGCGATATTCTCTTCACTGTAAATTCCTACTGGTGTATTATACTGTTTATTAACAATAGCTTTAACAGTTCCAGAATCATTGTTGTATCCATTTGCAACCTATATGAACGTATTAAACATATTAAAGACGCTCATAAATCAATGTGGCTTTCTTAATAAATTTGTATTACTTTCGGTGATGAAGCTCCACTGAAAGGCCGTGTAACAGCATTATGTCCGGTACCAATTGCAGGAGATGGTGGGCCAACTCTGGCTAATGAAGTTTTTGTCACTGGCTGTGGAGATTGCGAGAAACGATTGGACACTGGACTTGGTCCCACGGGTGTAACTGAAGGTTTCCATGAGCTTAATCCACCACTAAAACACAAATAGTAGTTAATGTTTATGTATGTAGTTAATAGGTTCTTTACTTTTTTTTTACGTATAAGTACATAACAAAAAAAAAAAATTATAGTTATAGAAATTCGTGTGAAGTTTAAGAGTAAATTCCTGATTACATTTAATATATAGTCATGTAACTATATTATACAATTTGAAATTTAATTTAAATGATTCTTAACACTATTATATAATAATAAATAATTAAATTTCGTTAATAATAATTAATAATTAATAATTAATAATTCAACGATATATTTCTGTATTATATAATCTAAAAATACTGTTGAAATATATTTTATTATTTATCTATTTAGATTTTTACATAGTTTGACATTTTCCATATTGAGTACATGGAATATAATTTACTCTTAATGTATTTTTAAGTTAAGTTATTTTCTATAAAGTCGATTTTGTGAAACTTTATTTTGAATGAAAAATATAAACGTTCACGTTATGTGTGTGTACATTTTACAACTTTTATTATTATGGTATACTCGTATTTCCTTTCCAGTAATTTATTTACACTTGGCTATGATATGAAAAAATGAACATTTATAGAGATACCTACATAAAAAAAAAATTTTTGACCACAGTCATTAAAGTTACTTCCCTTTGGAAATATAATCAAACAAAATATATTTCCAGACATTAATTACTTGGACTCTATCCAAAAAACTATCGTAGGTGTATGTTACATGAAAAAAAACTTAGAAGGTATTCAATCATATTATTTTAATTATTAATTTATCATAACATATTACGGATATTTTTATTTAATTTTTTTTTTAATAATTTGTTCTCAATACTGGAGTTCATTCCAACTAAATTAATTATTAATTTAAAGTGTCTTTATTATAACATAACCATTGCCATTTTTATGGCAAATTACATGATTAAAGTATTAATTTCGTTTGACCTACCAAAATAGAATTTTAATATTTTATCAATATATACTATGTTTTTATCCATCGTGTTATGAACTTGTTATTTGTAAATAATGCCATACTAGCTTAGCTTTGCGATCCACTATTTGAGAATCATTGTGTAAGAATTATGTTAAAAAATTATTTTATATTAGTCACGTTCGGTGTGATTCAACATAGTTTCCTGACATTTTCTGGACCAAATGTATGAGTGACGTAATAAATTCATACGATTTACGATATGAGAGTATGACTCAGTTATATGATTCAAATGAATATTGTCACAATTGTGACTTACCGGTGTATGGTGACTTCGAATGAATTTCCAGCTCCGATGATAATATCTTGAGCATCTTTGTGTTTCACATCATATACATCTTGGCCATTGACCTGGACTAAGGCATCACCTACTTGAAGACCAGCCTTCTCGGCTAAACTACCAAAATTCACCTAAAACCAAACACAATGTACAGTTAATATTATTGATTGTATTATTGTATTATGTGACGTCCGTGGACTATGGATATTGGTCAGCAAAGTTCTCATAATTTATACATTGATACGTTTAAGGTGTCTGACTTTTTTAAGATGAAGCTATTGTTTATTTTGCCGTTAGAAAGATAAGAAAGATAATATTTATTGACTATAGATTTTACGCGATAAATTTTGGATAATATTATCACGAAAATAAAAATCGCAAATCGTAGTTGCTATGAAAAATCTTAAAATGTTTTGATCAAATGAAAATGGATGATGGATTATGATTACAATAAAATGATGCCGCCCCTTAATTCCGAAAAAATTTGCAGCTCGAGGCGATGTTACTCTCTCGCTCTTTCTAAATACGTCCCTGAGCGTAGACTCACGTATAATTCAATAGTAATTTATTTAAAATAACATCTTCTTCTTTTTTTTGCCTTTCTCTCAACTATTTTGAGTCAGCCACCCTTATGCTAAGCCTCCAATGGTCTCGATTTTCTACATCCCATACTAACACACCAACAATCCTCATATTATTCTCAATCATATTCAATAATCTAACTATATATCTATCATGATCTATCTAACCATAGTTTCAATCATCTTTATGTTTAAAAATAACATAAAATATTAATTTTTATATTAATTTTAGATTATAGTCGGATGATCAGAAGAGTAGATAATTTCTTTAATTTAATTGTAATTTTTAAATTCTGAATAAAACGAATATTAATACAATAGAAGTTTTTACTTTATTTATTTACAAAAAAAGATTTTCTTTCCTTTACTGAATTACTGTAAACGTATAATGATCAATAGATAAGAAATGTGACATAAATAACAGTTATCGGTTATTTAAAAAAAAAAAAAAAAAAAGGTATATAACAACTAAGTTTGAAAAAAAATGTAAGTACTGGGTTAGTTTTCAAATTAAATAAAATGAATCAAATAAATAATTTAGATCAGTATTATTTTTTTTCGACAATCATTCTCGTCTTCAAAATTGATTATTGATATTTGCATCTAAGCAAGGGCATTATACAGAATATCAATATTTTAAATATTTTCTTAGGTCTAATCCATATACATAACATATTACTATTTTATATATTATGAAATTATATGGAAAATTAAATAAAAAAAAATAGTTGAAAATAAGTTATGTTACATTACTTTTTATTTCTTAAGTTTTAGTAAAAATAAAATAAATGCACAAGTATATACATAGATGTACACTTGATTTAATATTTACCGTCTAGTGGTTCACTGAATATGATAAATGGACATTATACTGGTTGTATGATAGAGCAGGGTACTAAAAAGTTAAAGTATATGTATTTTTATTAAATTAAATAAAACTATAATAAAATTGCGATGGGTCTGAAAAAACTATGAGGCTGAAAAAAACAAATTTAAAAATAGTTTCTAGACAAATGTTTGACTTTGGAGTGAGTTCAAATAAAAAACCTGAAATGTATAAATACTCGAACAAAAAGATATCTATTTATATTTAATATTTTTCATGGGCACGTTACTAATATATAATTCAATTGTTTTTAAATAAGAATAGTTAAAATGTATACATTATATACTTATTGACAACTAACTTTTTCCAACTGCTAACAGATAAATGTATGATATGGAACAATTATAGTTGCTCAGAAGTATGTGGTTTTTATTGGTAATGTATTGTTAACTAATTATTATAATATAGTTTTTGTAGGTGAATCAAAGAAAAACGTGATTTTTAAAATGGGGCTATGTCACCCTGTGGTATGCGACTTCATTATCATAATGTTTTTACCTCGAAGCTAGTCTCCATAAAAAAAAATACGATTTAAAATGTAAAACCAAACATTACGAGGATATTTAAAAAACGGACATCATACAATGGACATTTAGATCTTGTATTTTTACTATAATATACGTTTAAAACGTACCATTACATAGAAACATAAGAAAAGTGTTGAGAAAAATAAGTTATATGTCTGTAAATAAATTATACTTTCCATGAATAATATTTGACAAAACGATATTTTCAATGAGCAATACTAGTCTTATAGACTATTATATACTATGTAGATATCCATCATCCATCACTTTCTATGTATTTTTAATTTCAATAAATAATTATAGTGCAGACGTTTTGGGTAAAATAAAAAAATAAAAAATGTATTTGTTTAAAAGATTCGGGATAAATACCTGCGGTAAAATAAAAAAAATATGTATAAGATAATTATTATAAATAATATACTATATATATAATTTATTTATCAATGTATATATGTAAATATGTTAAAATATTGAAATAAATATACATGTAAAATATATTATTTTTTTTAAATAGTATATTTGTATTAGTTTGAAAACTACACCTAGTAAGCAAACAAAAATTCACATAATATTATTTTAATTATATTATTCATATATAGGTATTCGTAATAAATTATTTCAATTTTACTCTCTGCTGGAAGAAATTAAATACTGGTAAAGTATCTAGTCACACTTCAAGAGAAATAATCCCTCTGCTCCATAAGAAGTTCCCGGACGGACTAATCTCGTTGCGTGACCAAAGCTACCCACCTTGATCTTGCGACTTGACGCCGTGTGATTTTTTCTTATATGGATACCACTAAGTCACGAGTTTACCAGAACAAAGTTCGAAATGTCTTGGAACTTAAGCAAGAAATTCGTCGTGTCCACAACGAACTTGATGGGGCAATGTGTTATTCAGTGATGGTAAATTTTATAAAAATAATAATCGCCTGTAGGGCTAGTAGGCAGGGTCATATACCCGATATTGTTTTTCACTGTTAAACCTCAATTTCTCTTGAAGAGAATGATATATTTGTTATGTTTTTTTTTAAATAAATAAATTTAATTTATAACATATTTAAATCCTGCGTTCTTTTTGAAATACCCTATAGATTACTAAGCATATTCTAAATAATTAAACACATAAACACCGTGCGTTAAAGAAACGAAAAAAAATTCTTTCGTTTAGCTTTGCTGATTGTAAAAAAAAAAAATACTTTCAATATTGTTTGAGTATTTACATATTGTACTCAGCACGTAATTAAACGTCTATTGTTCTCGTGATAATGCGTACCGAAACTTAACTATACCATTGTTGCTTATTGCCGTAGATATTATTATTATTACTACTATTAAGTACTGTATCTTGCATGCACTAATATGCCATGTTTTCCTGACAGTTTGTCAGATACTCTACAGATGCTGATCGTTATTGATATAAGAACCATGACGTGAATCGTTGTATTTGATGAATTCAACGAAATATTAAATATTAGCACATGAACACATTATATAAGTCACGTAAATCATAACTATGTACCTACATTGTTGAGCAGATATGATTAGTTATTTTAATTTTGACTAATCATTCTGTCATATATTTTATTTTTATATACTTTGAAATCAGAATATTTTAATAATAAGCGAACTTAAAATGATTTTTATTGTACAAAAATATTAAAAATGTGTATAATATATAATTTCCGTGTACAAAAATTATTAAAATTTTAAACTTTGAGTGTCCATCGTGGTCATCCAATTCATTGCATGTATTAACAACTACTTTAATATTGGCGTAACCAACCCTTAAACATAATTTACATATATTATAAAAATGAATATGAAAATATGAATACATTAATAATAGGTGGATTAAAACTTAATTACCAAAATAATACTTAAAAATATTATTTATCGACTGAAAAAGCGTTGATATTATCTTTTGATTGCTAAAATATATTTAAACCTATTTAATTTGAATAAAAACACCATTTTAATTTAGAATAATCAGCAAGGTCTAATTTTTATTTATTGATAATTCACATTTTAACACATAATTTAATTTCAACGCTTAATTAAGATCACCTAGACATTTTTGAGATTATTTTTAACTTGTATAATTAATTTATGTAATATTTTAAACTTCCAAATACAATTTTGGATCATATTAAAAATCTTTGGGCATATATTAGTTATTAATTGGGCATAAATGGTATAAAACAAATCTATAAATTAAGAATATTTAATTGGAAAATTTCTCATAATCAATAGTTTTATTATTGTTGCAAATGGCAACAACAGCTGTTTTTGATTTTAGGTCAAATACGTAATTGGCTAGTTTCCAAAACAACAAAATATGACATTTTTAAACTACATAACAGGTTACAATTAAAATCAAAGTAAAAACAAAATAGTCTAAATGCTATAAATTTTCATTTTATCATAGTTAATGAAATACTAAAAGTAAAAGAAATTTGTTTGCAAAAACGCTACTTAACTGACAATAGATAATATTTAATTACCTCTATAATATGGCATAGCACTATACTTCTATAAGTAATCTTAAAAGGAGAGAAATGAAAGTCCCGAAACCAAAACTAAATTTTGTTTGAAGTTAGTAACGAAGCTCTAAGTGCCACTATAAGGGAAAGTGAATTACATTATACTGAACTAAAAAAATATTTGATACTTCCACAATACCCACAAAATATTTTTCGGTATCTTGATACAAGATAATTTTCCCCACACAATATTAATAATAATTATCGAAAAATTTGTATATTTTTCTTTAGAATAAATTAACTGTTGTAGAGAAAAATTTGAAATGTACACTACAAAATAGAATATTACTGGAAATGTCCAAAAAAATTTTCAGTCGACGGTAAATTAAAACTAGTTGATATGGTTTGTAAACATTTATAAAATAAATAGAAAAAATTATTAAAATTAATTTTTCAGTCGTATCGCAATCAATAGTTTATCCTCCATGAAGAATAATATTTTACATACATTTAATTAATCTGCATACATTTATTTCAAAATGATTTTATATTTTTGTTAGCTCAAGCTCATTTTTATTTAGCAAGTTCTCGTTTAATTTTATATTATGAAAATATATTTTATTTACGTACTATAAATGAAATTAAAGAAATAGA